TCTCTGGTCTCTCTCTGGTCTCTGTCTGGTCTCTGTCTGGTCTCTCTCTGGTCTCTCTCTGGTCTCTCTCTGGTCTCTCTCTGGTCTCTCTCTGGTCTCTCTCTGGTCTCTCTGGTCTCTCTCTGGTCTCTCTCTGGTCTCTGTCTGGTCTCTCTCTGGTCTCTCTCTGGTCTCTCTCTGGTCTCTATCTGGTCTCTCTCTGGTCTCTCTCTGGTCTCTGTCTGGTCTCTCTCTGGTCTCTCTCTGGTCTCTCTCTGGTCTCTCTCTGGTCTCTCTCTGGTCTCTCTCTGGTCTCTCTCTGGTCTCTCTCTGGTCTCTCTCTGGTCTCTCTCTGGTCTCTCTCTGGTCTCTCTCTGGTCTCTATCTGGTCTCTGTCTGGTCTCTGTCTGGTCTCTCTCTGGTCTCTATCTGGTCTCTATCTGGTCTCTCTCTGGTCTCTCTGGTCTCTCTCTGGTCTCTCTCTGGTCTCTATCTGGTCTCTCTCTGGTCTCTCTCTGGTCTCTGTCTGGTCTCTGTCTGGTCTCTCTCTGGTCTCTATCTGGTCTCTGTCTGGTCTCTGTCTGGTCTCTCTCTGGTCTCTATCTGGTCTCTATCTGGTCTCTCTCTGGTCTCTCTGGTCTCTCTCTGGTCTCTCTCTGGTCTCTCTGGTCTCTCTCTGGTCTCTCTGGTCTCTCTCTGGTCTCTCTGGTCTCTCTCTGGTCTTCCTCTCGGCTGCTTCACCTTGGGTCCCTCCTCAAGGTCAGGACTGATGGGTAGAAGGCTGGTGAAGGGGATTCTGGGTAATGAGTTTGGAAATGGCATTTAGAGCGGGATCGCACTCACACTCACACAGACAGACAGACACACACAGACACACACACACACAGACACAGACACACATACAGACACAGACACACACAGACATACTCACACACACAGACACACACAAACACCCACACATGCACACACACACAGACACACACACAGACACAGACACACACACACACACACAGACACAGACACACACACACACACACAGACACAGACACACACAAACACCCACACATGCACACACACAGACACATACACAGACACAGACACACACACACACAGACACACACACACACACACACAGACACACTCACACAGTCAGTGTGAGACTAAAAGTTTGTAACTGTAGGGAGACCAGCAGATTAACTTCTGTGTCTGTGTATATGTGTGTGTGTGTGTTTGTCTGTGTGTGTGTGTGTTTGTATGTGTAAGTCTGTGTGTGTGTCTGTGTGTGTGTGTGTGTTTGTGTGTGTTTGTCTGTGTGTGTGTCTGTGTGTGTGCATGTGTGTGTGTTTGTGTGTGTTTGTCTGTGTGTGTGTGTATATAAACCATTAAAACTTGCTGAATCTTGAATCCCAGTTGTGTTTCTTCTCTGCGTGCGAGTCGGTGAGTTAGTGTGTTAGCGTGTTAGCGTGCTGCGTTAGCGTTTTAGTGTGTTAGCGTGTTAGCGTGCCGCGGTGAACAATCCGGAGCCTGTGCTAACGGCTGGCGCTAGCCGCTCCGCCCAAAGTAAAACAAACAGTAATAAGTGTGTGTCTGTGGCGGCGGGGCATCAGGAGCAGTCACGCCACGGCCTCCAACTCGGCTCAAAGATGAAAGTGTGCGGCCGAATAAATCCCACCCTGTTTGTGTGTCTTTAATGAGTTCTGCTGCAATAATACAGAGCAGAGGGACCACAACGAGACCGGGAACGCCCTCACAGGGTCAGGAGGTAACGTCTATGCAATGGGAGAGGGGGGAGAGAGACCAGGGGAGGTGAGAGAGACCAAGGGGAGAGACCTGGGTTCCTGGTCCTGGTTCCTGGTGTCTGTTCCTGGTTCCTGGTCCAGAGTAATGGTGTGTTATTGCAGTTCCTGGTCCCTCATGGTCCTGGTTCCTGGTCCTTCCTGGTC